CAATAAGACGAGACTCTCTAAGAGACACCTTAGGGTCTAGTCCCAGGGCATTTGGCTACCCACTTAAATATGTGACTAGTCGTTTCAGGCGCCTTCCGAAATTTATCTTTGCCGATGGTGTGAAGCGGTGGGGAGAACGGAAGGTGAAGAAGATAGACTCATTTTATATCACTATTTGACATGACTTCATGATTACAATGCTGTATTCTTCGTTTCTGTAAGAAATGAGTGAGACGTACAGGATGCCGCGTGTCTTGTACTCATACTAGCCCGCATATTCCTGAAGGCGTCCTTGAGGAAGATGGGCCTTGGTGTCCCAGACCACATGACCTTAAACAGCACACAAATGTGGCAAAAGTGCAACCCTGAGACTGGTCTTTTAATGGGCTGATCACAGGTCTCCACCAAGTGTTTAACATTTTCAAATGATATCTCCTGGAATTTTAGACCATTGTCTTCCCTCCTTCACTTCAAATAGATTATAACTGTTAAGATGCATCACGAGGGGCCGCAAGAAGCCCGTTTGGGGACCACAGTCTAGACTGTGCATGGCCGCACTGAATATGTATCCCTCGGAATAAAAGTGACCGGAGGGTTATCTGATGCTGATGTGCGGCATTTCAAACATTTCAGGCTGATAAAAATCCACAAATGCTGCCGGAAAGGCCGGAACTTACAAGGAGGAACGTCCAGGAATCTCTTGTTTTAATTTTGTAAACACGCTGGGATCGTATTGAAATATGCCCCTGTGATGATTCAATAAGACTTGGTGCTCAGATGCTTCCAGGACATTCATAATAACTATGGCCTGGATGTCCACAACACCTGATCTGCTGTTTGCTTAGTGCTAAACTCTACCGAGAATCTCGGAGGAACAACTAGAAGTTAGAACTCGAACATGGTGGGGCAGATACCGGGTACAACCTCCAATACCTACTATTCACTAGAGCGTGAAATGCCCTCTCAACGGCTGTTCAAGCTTCATCATTATAATTCACAAGGCACAAAGTCATCGTCCACTGAAGGCCACAACATGGACTCACAGAACAAGCCGCTAAAAACTAAGTTCCTTTGTTTATCTTTTATCTTCTTTCTTTACGCTCAAGTTTCAGACACAGGAACTAGCGGTCCTCCGATAATAGGCTCGAGAGCGAGACATACAAAAAGCTTCTTCCATTCCGTCAACAACCTTTTAAAATCATGTTTGACCTATCTGCTTAAATCTCCCCGTCTTTCCGCCCATTTACCGACAACATCGAAGTATGGAGGATGGCAGGTAGGGGAGAAAATTCCAAGACACTCCAAGGGGGTCTGTTGCAGTCGAGGTTCTCGTCAGCTGAGAGTCGTTCGAACGTTAACTTGGGAAAGGGCAAAGGGATATACCTTGGCACGCCAGGAGTGGCCAAAAGCAGTTACTCTCCCAACAAGCATGCAGTCACCAGGCTATCCACAGATAGGAACCGAGAACTAAACTTTTCTGGTGCGATAGACACTAGTGTGAACAGCAAGGAAACGGCAGCAAGGGCAAACACCTTCATGGATTCTCTAGGGAGGGAGCTTGGAAAGCAAGCCGCTGATTATCCCACATGGCGTTCAGCATGGTAGCTTCACCCCTACTAAAAAGAGACAGGCATTCGCAGGAAGGTGTAGAGAAGGGTGACAATGCCATTTGTTAGGCTAACAGGCAGAAAATACGCACAACCCCCCAGACAACACAACTTGCTTACCCTAAGCCATCGAAGGAATAAAGGCAACCTAGTTACAGCATACAAGATCTTCCGCCAAGCGGACAACTCCGAAAGGGCAGTATTACCTGTCCAAGACCGACAGTTTCCCGGGGACCTCGCACACATAAATCACCAGACAGCAGAGATGAGAGCAGGAAATAACTTCCCGTGACACAAAGTGTCTGGCTTATGAAAACCGCTTTCGATAGAAGTAGTCGCTGCCACGTCAGCTGACCTCTGCGAAAACCGCCAGGCAACAAATGGCTTGAGCTGAACATTCAACCGCAGCATCTGAAGGCACGGCAAACGCTCATGCACTTGGTTTTACGGTCTGAAATGGGACTCACTTCCTCTTCACAACACTATTAGTGTCGCTGATTTTTTCTTTGATACTTTTCACTCCCTTTCTCTCATTCCCCACCTGCTCCATTACTCGCACTGCGTTGTAGCTGGGTTACGTTTCCCATTTCAAGTCAGATATCTGCCACATTTCTGGAAAAAGTAACTCCGTTAACGACTTGCTATCTCAAATAGTTCGGTAAGCCGTGTCAAAGGCATTGATCTCGTTGAACTAGCTCGGTGTCAAAAAGAAGACCTTGAGCTACGCCATCAGTTGTCGTCCGCAACCCTGGAGCTGCAAGTGTGCCCGGTAAAAGCTGGCAAGGATGCAGTTGCATGCTATGTCCCTGCGCGTCAACCACATTAAATAGTTCCGAAGAGATGTCAAATCAACATCTTCAGTGCGTTGCACAAACGATCCCAACCGGGTGTACGAGCCCCCATCTGGCTTGCTGAACAGCGTTTCTGCTGACCGGGCATGAACAAAGACGCTAAGGAGTGGACTCAGTTGTTTTTAGCTTGTCAGAATCGTAAAGTTACATGACACACCAAAAGCCCTATAGGATCTTTTCCAGCCCTAGACATGCTTTTTGATCACGTTCGTATAGATATTGTAGGACTTCTGACAGTGGTTGGAGACTCTAAGTGATGCTGATCAAGACCTCATCTTAAGGACGCTGTACCGAATCTCACCGTTTTGCTATTCCTCTTTTCTTTCTTGTACTTGATATTTCTTTTTGACTGCAACTCCTTATCTTCATGTTTCACTTCACCACCTTTCTACTTGATGTACTGATATGAGGTGTGGCGACTCGGACCGTTACGCAGTAATGTCTGGTCCTATGTTGATATTGACTGACTGAGAACCTCTACCAGAATCTAATGCATACACTTACCATTTCACCTGCGTGGATCGTCAACGAGGTGGACAGAAGCGGTATCTATTAAGGATATTGCTGCTGAAACTGCTGCTCGTGTTTTCGTCGAAAGACGGGTCACGAACTTTGGGTGTCCATCTCACGTAACAACCGGCCGGGGACGCCAGTTTCAGTGCGGCTTATTTCACCCTTTGACTGCACTTCTAGGTTGCACTCAGTTCCAAACGACAGTCCACCATTCACAGGCAGATAGCATGGTACAACAATTCCATCGACAGCTGGAAGCTTCCTTGTAACTGCAAACATAGCTCAGTGGACTGGGGCTGTACCCCTAGTCCCACTGGGTTGTCGTAACGCGTCGAAAGCCGATGCTGGATGCACTTGTGCAGAACCCGTCTATGGGACTGCTCTTCGCCCACCAGGTGAGTTTATTTGCTCATCGACTTTCAGATACGTTTTTGACGGAGCGTTTTGCCTAGGCTTGCAAAAGTGATGAGTTCAGTTGGGCTTAATCCTGTTGGACCTCAAACAACTGACGTCTTTGTTTGCCCCGTTTCACAAAAGACATCACACGTGTTCATCCGCCACGGTGCAGTTCATTGGCCACTTGAACCACCTTACGATGGACCATTCGACGTGATCAAGGGACACCAGAAAATTTATATAATCGAGTGAACCGGACGTGAAGATACTGTTAGTATCGATCGTTTGAAACCAGCTGATTCCAAGGGCAGCCACATCACAAGAGACGTTTCAGCTCACCATAACCGATTGGCGGGAAGCCCAATTATTAAAATTCTGGACCATGCCCCCGCAATACACAGATACAACAACCACCGGCACAACAAACAATACGATCCGGTAAGACCGTCAGGTTCCCGGAGTATCTAAAGACATATTCAACCGAGTAATGCGGCTTGGGCTACACCAGCCATTTTTAAATTCAAATTTTTTTGAGGCACCATTTTTTATCTATTGGGAATGTGAAAATTCCACTAAAGTTTACCTTTCTGTTTTTTACTACCACTTAGTCATACCTTTAAAAAAAATCAAAAACAACCGTAGAATCAATTTTCGACATATTTATTTATAAATGTTCCCCATTCTACCAAACGCTGTCATGGTATTAAGGACTTTTATTTCTGCTACAGATGCAACGGGCACTGAACAGAACATCAAAGGACACGGGATAGCAATCGATGCGCATTTCGACCGATTTCACTCCTCTTTCATCACGACACACTGGAATAAGTCCAGACAACCAGGAGCAACTCCTCACAGTGAGCTCATCGGAAGAGTTTTACCAGTGGAGAAACCACTGGGTTTCTACTTCTGGCTGGTGTGGTCTTAGGATCCTCAAGAACCCACTAGGGAGGGAGTGGTCTGTAGCGTCAGACACTTCTCCAGAATCAACAGCCTAGGGTTCAACGAAATTCAACGTTGATGCTGACTGTCGTAGTTTAACTGGACCCGCTAAGCTGAAGGCACCCGGTCAAGCACCCTCGCATTCCGGCATGCTTTCGTGTTACTTTGAGCTGCTCGCAATCGACCCTATGGCCAGCTAGTCGGTACGCACCGGCATTTTGGCATGACCTCGCAAATATACTATTCAGTTTGACCACACTGTTTCTTCCTTTCTTGGTCTCGTATTTGTGGGCATATAACAAGTACGAACAATTAATTATTGGCCTCTGCCTCTGTCAAGTTCGCTACAGGACAAATCCTAAAGCCTTTTAGAAAGAAACTTTATACTTACATGCGGGTGCTTGCAAAACCAAGAATGGAGAAAGGTTACTTGATATTATCAGTAGTTTTGTTGATCTTCCAAACAAACCAGCCTAAAATATGAAAAAGAAGACCTCTCTTACAGACAAGTAGTGCCCCCAAAGCTATAAGCAGGTAAAATGTACAGACTTCTTCCATCACCGCAAGTGTATAGCTGAAAAAAGAACTGAGCGTCTTGAAATAGAGGTGAGAGCTTAGAAGCTAGAAGTTTCCTCTACCGGGACCTTTAACATTATTTTGCAGCTATTTGAAACGACCTACAGGTGCGTACGACTTTAAATATACGTGCTACAGTAAGCCGTGTTAGTTGTCTTAGTTTTTCGTCCCATTCCTTTTCTTGTACTTTGTAATAATTACCACTTCTATTGGAATGTAGACACAAAGTGAAGGTGATTTTAAGAGGTTGAAATCCATACTTCACAATTTCTTCCCTACTAACCATGTAACACAACGTAGTTTTATGTAATTTGTAACACTTCATTTGCTAAATAAGTTGTTTATGTACGCCAGTGAAGCTACTAAGCTGCTTAAAACTCAGAAATAAAAGAGTTCATCTAATACTTTTGGTTTGCAGTTTGAAGGTGAAACGAGTCACCTGGTGACAAGCATACTACTTCCTCCAGGAATCGTTTCTGAGACTCGATTGGTGGATGCTCACCCCAATAATTTACACCCCGACACTTTACCTTAGCATACATGCTCTGTTGAACTTTTTGGGACCTAACCGAGTAGGAAGGAGAAGCCTTTTCGATCCCTGGAGGTCGGTGTGTTTTAAATTCATTTCTCAAAATTCTGTCTGTGATAAGACAAATTGGCTGTTGACCTCCTGGAACCTTTCGTTGCAGGTCAGGTTAACCATCGAAAGGATCATATTAGTGGCTATCTTTTGAATGTTTCTCAGGTAAGTCACCTTCCTAACAAGGAACTGGCATACGTATACAGTCCCATGGTGTATCTTACTAGATCTGTACATAAGGCAGTAAATGTATTACCACTGTTCATGGTAGATTTTTCGCTTGTTGCCTGAAGTGTTCTAAAACGCAAGTGGCACGAATCGACAGGGGACTTTTATTTTCAAATCATAACATACTACAACTTCAGATTTCACTGTAGGTTAGAAAAATTTAACCAATATCGTAGATGTTGCTGTCTCTATGGATTTTGTGCACGATTACACACTTTCACCAATAGACACTAGCCATTTTTATGACCATGTTGAGAAAATTTAGTTTTGCCTGTAATATGCATACATCACTGTCATCCCTTAATCCTCGCCTGATTTTCTTCATTAGCGAATATACTCATGGTTTTCTTAGTGCTTGTTCATTTATATATCGAAGATATAGTAGAAGACTGTTGACAGTTTTGTGACACTTCATTATGTGCCAACTTCCTGAGGAAGAGTTGGAAGTTGGTCCTTTTTCTTTGTCTCTTACCAACAGGGAAATCTGATTCTGAGAATATCCACTTTTGTAAGTGACTGGAGTGAGGTGCTTTATCGAATGTCTTATTAAAGTTTATTGTAACAACACCGAAAGGCTTCCCATTTTTCTTAATCTTTACCCAATTTTCTCTGATTATTTGGTTTTTCAAGTATGATAAACTTGTGCGAAAACCGTGTTGCGAATTTAACAATAAAACATTGCTCTTCGGGTAAATCGTAATGATTTTTTTGACTAATGTTTCTAGGACTGAACTACATTAGTAGTAAAGTTTGTCGGTCTGTAATTTGATGAGTGCTACCTAGGACCTGTTTTGTAAATAGATGTGATTATAGCATCCTTCCAATCATAAAAGTATATTCATTGACCACAGATAAACCGAGGCACAGGAAATTTAAACTAGCTTTAAAGGCCAACCTACAACAACCCATCAGAAAAGAGTGGTTGCAATGTTCTTAAAGGAATTAGCACGTGTGCAAAAGAGCAAGCAAGTACAAGTATTCTGTCTTGCATAAAAACAAGCGCATACTTCTGAAAAAACTGTTAATTCGTTTGAAATACAGTCAAAATCAGAAATAATGGTACTGCTGCTGACGAGTAACAAATTAACTAAAAACAAATGGCTTAATGTATGGTTTATAGCTCTAAAGCTTGTAGGCTAATTGCCACATAATGAGGCTTACTTTGCAGTCATAAAAGTTCCTCGCGTTCCTTCCATTGTGTCACAGTTGATACACTTCTGTATTGATACGCTTTGGATTCTTTTTTACAGTTGTTGCCAAGCAGGTTGTAAACTGATTTAGAGATGCAACTCATTGTCTCTGAGCGAGCCATTCTTTAGCCTATCGACAAGGTGTTCAAAATCTACATGATGTTAAACTTTGAACATTATATCGTCATGACAACATTTAGTCCATCCTACACATCCACTTTCAAGAAGGTGATTTGGAACTACTGTGGGAAAGATGGCACGTCGTTCATTCCCTTCAAAAGGTTTGATTAAATAACCTGGTACATGTGTACTAGATTACGAACCATAACTGTGCAACTGCCAAGGTGGAAATAAATGGAGTGAAGGTTGAACCTGTAACCTATTGCTCGGTAGTTGAGTTCCTAAACCAGTGATTAATGAGGACTTAACACAAGTCAGTTTTCACGTAATAAGATTCATCCACCGCATCAAGTTTACTATATGCAGAACTGTTGGTAAACATTTATGTCACTTACATCTCATGACACTATGGAATTTTTGAAATCCCCTATAATACCTAGTTTCAGCTGTCATCAACCAATAAGCATGCCAATTTTAGACATCTTCAAGTAGTTAGAAATCAGCTAAGCAGTTCGGTATATATTTCTTTTTTGTACTCGTATTATGCAATTTTCGAGCGCTTACTGTTCCCACAGAAACGTAAACATACAACAAAATACACTCCCTTGCCTTATACTTCCAGTAATTTCAGGAGACCGGACAGTCATACGACTGGAAAGCTTCCATTTTCGAAACTTACTAATAATGAAAGGTGCAGAAGGGGGAAAACTATTGAAGGGTATAGGAGAGCCTTTAGGGGTCTAACCAAGAGGCATCATTGAACGCACAAGGCTGTCGTCAAAGCCAAGTGACGGTATGTGATGGGTTTCTGGTTTACTTTACATCAAAACCTTACGTACTCAAGTTTGTAGGTTTTTGCTACATTTTTACAACTAAAACAAATCCTGTGTTCTTAGCGAGCAAAGTACAGTCGCCACCATTCGGTAAACAGTTTTTAATGAATCTGTCGGGTTTATTTTTCAATAGAGTGAAAATCTCCTTTGAGACATTTTGAAAACAACAAGTTAGGAGAAGTACTGTGCACGTTTCTTTTAACCATGGAATACAAAAAAGCAATCTTGTTTCGCCAGTGTGGTCATTTAGACATAATTCCGCAATATAAGTATAAAAATGGCGTTGAAATGGTGGTGATTAGTCACACAAATTGGGATAGAAATTTAGGCAGTCAACATCAGAATGGTACCTGGCAATAGCGTGTAACAGTCCGAGTTACTATACTTTACATCAGCACATCAAGATACGGGGCGGCAAAATAAAAGATTGAAAAGTGGAAAGGAGCGCAATTAGAATTTGTAGAAAGTCGGAAAAATATGAGGTCAAATGGTTATTCACCAGCAAAACTACCACATCACAAGTAGTATTGTAGTGGGTGTTGCTGATAAGAATGGATATAAGTAGTGTATCTTGAGAGGGTGGCAGAAATCATAGGGAATTACCAGTAATGGGTAAGGATTCTGTCAAGAGAAACGCAAGAGACAACGCAGGTGTATGAAAAGCAAATCAAGAGGGAAGCAGGAGAGAAAATGAAGCACATTTTGCAAATGGTGGTCTTAGTGCAAGGTGTACGACTATTGTCGCACTGTTGACAATAAACATTCCTTCGTATTCGTCTTCTTGCTTCTTTCAATTGGTATCGCTGCCTCTCGACGTGATAAAGATTCCGTGGCCTGCAGTGTTCGAGGATGGAGACATCCAGGTCTTTCTCAGAGACTTCGAGTTGGTCGCGGAGCTGGGATTTGCTCTTCATACGCCTTCGTTGTCTCTTGCGTTCCTCTTGACAGATTCCTTACCCATTGCTGGTAATTCCCTATGATTTCTGCCACCCTCTCAACATATACTCTTATCAGCAACACCCACTACAGTATTACTTTGTTGCTATATTATTTTCGTCATTACTTTTTGTCTGTAATTAGATTTGTGCAACTGCATTATAAGTATGATAAATCGGTTTACTTTTCGGATTATTTTAAATTCTCCCATTGAATACCTGATGAGTGACATGAAAGATGCTAGGAATCTCATGCAGTTTTATTCTGCTATTGTTAATCACCTTAGCCGTTAATCGATACGTTGGTTTTCATCTTCCATCTTAGTTATTAACTATGGTGCCTGGAATAGGAAACCACTCGCTGTCAATCAAGGATTGGATTATAACACCACAGTATCTTAGTTCATAATACAGAGCAAAGAATACAGTTTGATCCAGCAAGTAAAATGATGATAAGGTGTAGTTGCAACTGGACCATACCACCTACAGTCTTCAGCTACCACTTTCGGTTGTTATACGAACCCCAACCGGGAAGTCTACATTTCTCCTACACAGCTCAAGCCAACAATCACTGACTTAGTGGAGTGGTACTATGTTTCAGTTTAGTTGGGTGTAACTCTATCAGCCTGAACCTACTTCAGCAAACATTACATATTAGGGTAGACGGTCAAGGTGTACGTAACACATCCCAGCTATCTGAGTTGATGAGGATTTATGATTTATGCATTGCTGATATGGTGATTCCATGACATGGCAGATAATGCGAAGGCAACTGTGTTTGATTATCTGCAGCGTTTGAATTTCGTCCACCTGTAGTGGCCATGTTACACAATATAGCAAAAAATAAAAAAAACTGTTATACAGTACACGACCTGTAGTGGACGATTGTGTAACTGGTGGTATAGGTGGCTTACACCGGCGAAAGCCAATCGAGCGTTTTTATCATTTCAGAAATTCCACCGACCACTAACCCTTCAGGGTTGATATGAATCCCTAGGGAAATATAGTAAAATATCAGGCCTCTTGATCTGTTACTGCTAAGGCGATAATTGCTAGTCAGGTTATAGTAAGCGTAACTACTGATGTGTTATATTTGACAGTCTCAAATATAATACCACAGCAGTATCACGAAAATAGTCTTCGCTTGTGAGCTAAAGAAACCTCTAATTTGTGAACACCGGACGTTCGATCTTGTAGGTTTCTGTCGCACTTAGCTCTGGAGTAGAGGAATTACCACTTTAATCATTTCCTGATAGTTTTATATGGATTCTGGTTGTAAGTGAGTGAGTTAAGTTCAATTCGCTTTCTATTGGTTAATGAAATCATTGCTATGGAAAAACTGGTCTTAGCAAACTCGTCACATCTGTTATCGCGAATGTATCATAAAAAGAACTGTTTTCGATTTATTAGCGAATGCGGATAAACATCGGCCGCCTTCACACGATCCCATTATAACAGCCAGTAGGTTTTCTTGAGGCCTCAAGAAATATTGCATCCATAAGCAATGAATTCCCCCAAGTTCGAATGCAGCAAGAAGAAAAATAATAGCAGAACTAGCATGCACGTATTTCTTGGGTTCTCCTCAGCTGTTTTACAACCTATATTCTATTCCATAGGCTTCAAAACAGCTGAGGAGGACCCACCAAATACATACATGCCAGTTCCGCTACTGCTTTTCTTGCTCTGTTCAAATCCATGAAAAGGAAGAATTGTATGAAGTCCCTTGCAAATTTGTAATGCCTGTGGTTTTACCAGTGGACAGTCATTGTGGTGTATGCCAGCTGTCATTTCAAACCCAAAATCTTAACTACTATCTAACAGTGAAATCTCCAAAACCCATACAAAGCTGATTCCTGAGAATCAGACCAGGTTTCTTACAAGCTGTAAGTGTATTCGATCATACATTCGCCCTTAAGTAGATTTTTGAACACCATCATGTGTATTGCATGCCAATGACCGTTGTGTTTCCCGATATTAGGACTTGCTCCGATTCATTATTAAACCCTGTTGGAAAAGTGTCCTTAAGAGGTTCATTAATAATTCGGAAGCTCTATACAAAAATACCTATCATAAACTAAGGGCAGACAATTACGTAACGGTTGCAGATATCCAGTCACAAATGTCGTGTATAACATTGCTCGTGTGGTTGTTAAAACCAGCTAGTGAGCCATAATGATATCATTCATAGAGTTCTAAGTAATGAAGGTCACCTTGAAGGTGACGTGTACATGTGTTACACATTAGAAGTTACTGCTTACCACAAATTGCATTGGCTTGCAATGGGACTATAACAACAAGAAAACAAGGGTTTTGAGTTTAAAACTTGGTATAAACCCAAAAGGTCACTGACTGTTTGTCTGACAGCACCCTCCGTAACCCAGGGATCGATACTCAGCTCCTCTGTAACATAGGAGCAAAACTTGGGCACTACGGTAGATTGTAATTCCATTTTAGTCTCTGTTATGGTCATGTAAATTCACACTGTATCTTTCCTTATATTTTGAAAAAGTGATGTTTCCCCTTTCCACCAGTGTCTGTTTTCATCATCATATCTCTTTTCTGCTGATACAACCTTCGTTTGCTGCTAAAATTCTTATTGAGTTGAGCCAATTAGCTTCTGTGATGTACTGCATTATTTCCCTATTCTCTACTTACATAGGCATACTATGGTGTATAAATTTTCCATTTCGAAAACTTGCTATTTAACACGTATCCCATCAAGTCGTAGAGCTAAAGATTAATGATTAAGGGTGTTATAGCCAGCCACGGTAGAAGCAATAACATTTTTTTCATGGTTGCCAATGAATCTATGACTGTCGATTTGTCAAAACTTGAAGTTGTTGTTTATCCCATTCCCTACTTATCACACTAATATGATTTCAACTGTAGAAAGACAGTTTTCATTTGTATAATGTATGTTGGAAACATGCTGAATATCCATATCCGAAGTGGCTGTCAGTTGGAAGGACATGACGACAACTCGAAATATCATATATGGTGAAACAATGAATTTATTCTGAATCATGTGATTTGTTGGTAATAACCGGCTTATATACTAAACAATACCCTGCACATGATAGATAAGTGTCAATGCAACTTTTGACATAAGTAATTATAACTAAATAAACCCCCAAATGTGGTACACAATTGAGATTTCCATCGATCATATTCGGTACCAGTTGATAGGAATTTTATCTTTAATGCTTCTGGCAATAGGTGTCATTAGAGAATTGTTGTTGTCGTATGTCCAAAATTAATGTTCCTAAAAGAGCAGTAATTACTTACACCAAATGTCTCTTCCCTTTATACATCCATAAGTTGATTTATAAAACGTAGTTGTTTGAAATGATATTGACTTTACACAAAGTTGGAAATAGAGTATGTCAGTTGCATAACAATGTGTCTGTCCATGCTAATTTGTCAGATGATTTTCTGTATAACTGTTGATAATAGTATAAGTTTACTTTTTTCTTTTTCATAGACTGCTGATACGGACGTCAGTAACGTGGTTGGATATTGAAGCTCCGCCTAACGCATTATGGATACTGTTCTGTTAAGTGACCTTGAACGTTTTTACCTAGTGCAGGGAGTTGAAGTAAACTGATTGATTGCACTCCGAATTCGCTTTAGGTGGGATGTAGAATGGATGGTCGTGGTCCAAGCGAATATCGGCCTTTAGAAATCGAAACAAATATCTTAAGTCACGCTAGTGGTTCAGCAAGTATTCGCATTGTAAGTTGTGTATATTCATCATTACCAACTACAGGGTGAAACATTCATTGTGTGTTGTGTTAAAATGGAAGTTGGAAAACCTTCTTTAACCAGCCTAAATGAAGGTCGTGTCGAAATCAATGTTGAATGGTAAGTTCAGTCACTAATGAAGTAATATATTTAGTAAGTTGTGGAAGGTAACGATTTCCTAAGTTCTAATTCATGGCAGTATTTTGTATAAACATATCACTAGTCGACAAAAATTAGGCGTTAAAATAGGTAATGAGCACACGTTTGATGAGAAATAGTACTACTACATTTATGGACTTAATCAGCTTATAAACTAATATTATATACAATATGTATAAGTGCACTTTCAGTATGCAGAAGGATTTCAAATATCAGTGTGAATCTAACCTATTGAATATCCACCAGTTTGTTGCTCTTCTGCAGTGAAAATTTGTTCCCTAAAATAGTAAACTAACCTGTTTTTACACTACTAAGATATCTTGACTTGTTTTTCACCAGTTATCCCACAGCAACTCACCGTTGTAATGAAAAGGGAGCATCCGAATTGGCGGAACGCTTAAAGACAACATTGCAATCAGTCTATAAATCAGAGTTACTGGACCTTACATCTCTTTGTATCCAACGTGGTCGTCAATGCTGGATTGTATACATTGACCTACTTGTTAGTTTTCGTTTGCGCATAACTTTTTCCTGCTGTAGATTTTGGAAGGTGCTGGCAACCTACTCGATGCTTCTTCGCTGGTAATTAAAGCTGCGCTACTCAATGCTACGTATGTTATTACAGGATTAAAATTACGCGTTTTAGGCAGTCGAATTCTTCGTTGTCATCCATTTTTCAAGATAAGAAAAGGGTTTCTTCTGAAGTTTTAACCCAAGAGTTTTATGAAGATACACTGCCGTTATTTGTTACAGTACACAAAGTAAGTGAACATAAGCATTATCTTATTGCAAATTCTGGATTGAATTGTCCCAATATTCTTAATCTTATCGCTGATACACTGAACGTGTTTAGTATTACACTAGCCATTGAACCGTATCTGATATAACCATGTAGTAATTAAATTTTGCACACCCTTGAAAACAGTATCAAAGGCAAAACAATGTAAATATGTGAAAGTGGCTAGCGAAAGAATTTTAATGTTACTGTAGCCATCCATAAATAGTTGTGTTCACTATTTGAGTAGTGACTCCTGTTGTTTCAGAAGTCGTCTTTGCGATTTACAAACTCTTAAATGGACCTTGAGTTTTTTCCAGACTACGGATTTTTGTCTAATAGTATTCAGATTAATTCCTATATAAGCAATTGTGCTGTGTGGTCATGTGAATGGCTATCTTGCTTTAAAAAAACTTACTGAAAGTCAGAATGATTTCAGTGGCTGTCTCTGCAATGAGTCACATTATCGTGCATTGAATCAGTACTCATGCTTTGTGAATGCTGATTATTCAACTGAAAAGAAGTGTATGTTTGGTCGCATGATTTGTAATTGGGTGTCCAGACAAAATGGAAATTCACTACACGCCTATGAAGTTCAGAAATAACAAGTTCGGATGACTTTTGCAGTTAATAAATGTTTGCTTTTTTTCATACAGATTGGAAATGCTTACGTAATCGACGCAACTAAACAAGAAGAGGCTTGCTCTCTGTCCAGGTTGGAGTTTATACAGTTGATTCATGAAACTCTTTAGACTATCCCTAGCTATATATCCCAATGGTTCAATAGGTTCCCTAGAAAACGATGGGTGCTGTAGCTGTCAACTAGAAACAATAGTCGAAATGTCAGAGGTAAATACGTTTTTATTATCAACATACCTTTTAGCTTGCAACAGCTGTTGGAAAAGAATTAAATCATGCTCTACGGAAAACGCTGGAACTGGAGAAGCAGTTACGTTCTTAGGAAAAATGTAATATCCATGTACATATAAATACACTTATACATATTATAAGATGGTATTTGACTGTTTAACTACATTCTGACAATGTGTTAAATATATAATTAGTCAGATCATGCTGCCTTATGCAAACCAACTGCTTGTTTCCAAAAATAATCTTTGTTTTATTCTCAGCTGAGTTTATGAGGATGACTGGTTATTTTTAGTATGTCGCCTTCCATGGAAACCAAAAAGGCACACTTTTACTTACGTTGCTTAGTGCGACTTCCCAGCATAATACAAGTGACTTCTAATTGTAACTGTTATGCTGTATTACATAATCATGGTTCGTGCTTTGAAAGACAACTGAGATTATGCACTGAAAGTAGGAATGGAAAATATAAATTATATAAACTCACGAATGAAGCTAGAAAGTGAGTAAATCATACTCTGATACTTCTCGTTTGACGCTAAGTTGAATGAGGAATGGTCACTACAGAAGATTTAAACCAGTATTTGCTCCTTTTCTGTTGGTTTATAATTTTCATTGACTTCTGAAAGGGGAGTCATACTGTAGTGGGCGTTGCTGATAACAACGGATATAAGTAGTATATATCGAGAGGGTGGCGGGAATCATAGGGAATTACCGGTAATGGGTAAGGTTTCTTCCAAGAGCAACGTAGGCGATAACACAGGCGTATTACAAGGGATGCTGCTGATGAGAGTGTATGAAGAGCCGGTCAAGAGCAAATCAAGACAGGAACGGAGAGGAAACGAAGACATTTGCAAATGGGTGCTTTAGTGCAAGGAGTACACTATGTAACCACTACCATCCCAATTCTTCCTAATAAACATGCTCTCGTCGAGTTGTCTTCTGTCTCTTCAGTACTACTGGCTGTAACTAAAGACTCTTTCGGCAACCATGCGCAAGTTCATGCACTAGGCAATGAGCCACACCTATCGTGTCAGCGCTGATGGTACTACCTAGCTGTCCAAACCCTTGGCAGGTGAAGCAGGACTCAAACTCGCAATCCACTATTTGAGGATCGAGTACCTAGACTAATGGGCCACAGCTGAATAAAGTAGGAATAATACGGTGACAAGCCGTCTTTCCTTCCATTATAGTGCTTAAGTTGACGTCAGTGGGTTTCCACAGGTAACTTACATTAAAAATCTGAAGTTTTATACTCAGTCACTTCTTTTGTTCACTAAACTCTCGACTTATTTTGCGCCTGTTCACAAATAGTGTCATTTCTTTCTCCTCTATGAATTTCATATTACCCGCCAGTTATTTCATAAACTGTCTTGAGTTCATGGGCTACAGCAGACCTATTGTATATATTAGCTGCAGTGATAACGTAGCACACACGTCACGAAGTTAAAAATGCTGATATCAGTTACCTATTTTATTTAAGTTTGCGAGAGATAGTTCAAAAACTAAAGTACAATTCAAAAGTTATTTATCTAACACGCATTACTATTTATCAACTGCCGTTAATAATTCAAGAAATCCTAATTGAATATGGCAGACGAATTTTGTACTTCATGTACCTCATCAGGGAAATAAAGAGATGATATTGCTGTATGCGTAAGCGAAATGTACCATCTTAATTCAAGTGTGATTTGACATAATTGTTTAAAAAGCTCATGAGAGTATGTTGAAACTAGTCACCTTGCATTGTCTGATAGTAAATGTGGAGTTTCACATCTGTGTTTCGGACCTGGAGTATCATGCTCAGACTTCAAATCTTGAGAACACTCATTTTATTTTAGGTGGAATAACCCGTGAACCAACCCCAGAAACAATACAGGGTTGCATGGTAGTCGATAATTTGTCGAACCATATCACTTAGATGCAATGCCGAGAAAGATTACTAAAGTCACTGTATGAAGAGCATAAGTTGTTAACATGAAATCTGGTATTACTGTATAGTTACCGCACATCAAAGTCGAAAACACAAGGAAGCGAAACACCATGCGAAGATTCACGCCTTTATTTACACTATGTACACTCTACATTGTGCAAGGAATCACATTGCACGTTTTTCAATCGACTTTTCATCAAGATAATCAATCTTGTTCCAGTGATCAAGTCTATCAAAGTAACGTTGTCTCCGCTGACGTTCACGCCTCTGAACAATATGTCTCTCTCTCTCCAACCGCAAGAGATTCAAAGTTTTCTCACTCCACATGCCCTCATCTGATTCTGCATTACTTTTGATGACTTTAGGTGAAAAATGTTCACTGGTCAACGTTGCGACCGCTCGACCTAGTGGATCCACTTTTTCAACAACTTTTGGGCCAATCCATTCACCTCTCTCTAATTCGTCTTCGGCACGATTACGTTCCTCCACAACCATCATCAGATTCTCCATACTTTCTTCAACCTACAATGAATACAGAAGTAATCTAGGTGATTCAGTTATAAGTCTTTTAAAGTTACTTTTGAAGTGATTTCATGTCGAATAGATATTACAGACTCAAATTAAAGAGGCCAGAAAAGCATGAAAAAACCTTGGCATCACAATTTAGTGTTTTACATGCATGGATGCATGAACACAGACCTGTAATGAGCTTCACAAATGCAAAACAATTCAAAATCTTGCTAAAATGTTCAACACAGGTAGACGATTGATCGACAGCTGATAACACTGTTCTTCTTTACGGACTTCAATAATGGACTAATTGGTCCCTGAAATGCACTGTGAAGTTTCTACTTTTCACAATCCGTATGTCTTGGGGAAACTTCCGACAAAATGGGTTGAGCAATACAGTTGTCAAACGCTGATGTCAGCAGACACGTGAGTCCTTCTCATGGCCTCCATGTTTCACAGCTACACGGTGGGACAAAGTGAACTGCTGTGCAATACACTTGATCCTTAGGAGACATTCGGGTATCTTGCCGACAACGTAAGTTGGAAGAAGTCAATCAAATTTATCTATCCATGTGGGGATTTTGTCGGTAAATCAGTTAGGGCCAATTTGACTTTCCAAGTAGTGGTTAGGCGCGTTGTCAGACGATAAATTGATTCGGACATGTCCCCAAGTAACAGTCGGCATTAAAGTAATCAGAAATGCACTCTGGACATTCTTAGTATCAAGACGATTATGCATTTTGCCGACATCTTCAACAAGGATCGTGTCACATGCTGTAAATCTACTAAACAGTCACCTGTGACGACGCTCTAAAATCAAACGAGAGAAGGACCATAGAAACGGGTGTGCGGACATAGCCTACAGTTGAGTGGAGTACTTACTGGGCAACCTTTTCATTGAGACATTATCTATCATAAGACTCATCGACTCGTCCATCATCACCCATCTAAATCAACATAAGACCAGGCATTACGACGTAACGGTCCGAGTTGCCATAGCTCATACCAGTACATCAAGTAAAAAGGCAGTGAAGTGGAAGATCAAGAAAAGAAAATTCAGTCAAAGGAAATATAAAGTGCTAAAAGAGAGGAAGGAAGAATGAGAAAATGGTGAGATTCGGTATAGCGTCGTTAAGATGAGGATAATGTATGTATACATCTGCGGTACTGACATCGGCTGTGAGCCATATCATCAAGTTTCCAAACACTGGTTCCTCTTGTCCCGCAGGGATGCGTCCACGTGTATCCCTTTAGTTTGGAAGAGGCTGCTGATATACACTGGCTCTTTTTAGCCACTATTTCAGAGTCGGTTGCGGTCTTCAGCGCTGCTTTTACAACAGACTGGAGATGGCATCAAGCTTCTTTCGGATGAGTGATAGTCTTCTGTTCCGATAACTGTCTAGCCAACTTCTCACTAAACACGGCAGCACTGGTAGTGGTTTTGTTGCCAAATTTTCTTTACGTCCATTGAGACGCAGGCATATACGCGTTTGGACCAACGCGTGGTCGTTATCCAAACACATACTCTAGAAGGAGCGGCAGTCTTCCACCGATCCCCTCCAGCAATGACTAATAGCAATATGGTCTATCTGTGTCCATCGCTGAGTTGAACCCGGTGGACGTCACGTCAGACAGTGTCTTTCTTCATGTCTGAAATCTGTGCTAGCTAAAAATAGGCGGCTATCTGAGCACGTTTAAGTAGGTAATCACCGTTATCTGTTCATTCAGCCGGGACTCCGAAAGTGCCACCCAAGTGCCTTTTTGCCTTACTCAGTCAACCCACCTGTGCGTTGAAATCACCTGCAACAACCACCACGTCCGAACGTTTGGCTTTTGAGAGGAGGCCAGACAGTTTACGGTAGAACTCGTCCATCACTTCATCCAAACTACAGTCAGTGGGTGCGTAAGCAGAGATAACGGCGAGTTTCACCATTCCTTTTCAGTTCTCGCTGTGCCATTCAGTCGGATAGCGCAGAAGAAACTATCAACTGGGATCCAGTCTAGTAGTGAGTCTTCTATCCTAGTGCTTAATGCTATGCCTACACCTGCAAGACCGCGAGAGCTAGTTATCGAACCTCCAGAAACTTGAAGGGTGAATTTTGCGGATCCACCAGATTCGCCGGGAGAGGTCAGGTGAATAACCGCACTTGGGTCCTGTATGCGTGCCTCACAAACACAGCACACATTCGTGGCCCGGGTTGCTACAGTCTTTGCCAACGAAGTCTGTTGACCAATTTGACGTAGGTGTGGACGTGCGTGGTTTAAGGAGACCAAGGATGCTGTTCTGTGGACTCAGATCGTTGTCAAAGGCTCCAGGGCTGGGAGGAATTGATGATGTAGTATCGTTAATTGAGAAACGTGAAGGAAGATTAAAAGGTAATGATAGGGGAGGTGGATAGCAGTCTGAGAAAACCTGAGTGCTGACAGAGTTGTGAGGGCGGTTGACACTTCCCGGCTGCCCAAACCATGGAAGGCTATTTCTTCTTAAGGTATCTGAAAGAGATTTATGTGACCGTAGAGGCCACCAGGCATCTGCTTGCAGCCTTTTATATATGCTTGTCTTGAACTTTTGTTGTTTTGGGACCGGATAATCGAAAAGAAACGATGAATGAACCAACACCACCGGCCCGGCAGACCGTGGGGTATGGTGGAGTGTGTTATTTTTGTGGCCGACCTTTTCTAACCCCCCTTCTTCCGCTGAGAAAGCAGCATCAGCAGAGCACTGCTGGCCATTCAAGGGAAATAAATTACTGCTGTCACACCCCATCTAGCTAGCAGCAGTACAACTTCGCCCTCAGGTTCCGATCATAGTGTACTAATTTTACACTACAAAGGTAACTTCTTTTTGTCTTACCACTATCCAACAGACCTTTCTGGCATGGTAGGACCTCTAGGGAACAAGCATTCCACTAGCATAGCTCGTTGGGTCATTGTGATATGCAAGCCCGACCACCACATCCAGGTAGCAGCTATCAGCTGGGTTAGTGAAATTATAGCGAAGGATGAGCGTAACTCATTTGCAGAGGAGAAGACTGGAACCATGGGTGAAACACTTTGAGATTCAGTTCAGTTACTTTTCAGTTGCCCGATTTCCAGTCACATCCTGAATACAACATCGACCCCTGACACTTTCAGAAATCGAGAAAGCAGTAAGGAATCTGAAACGAGGGAGAGCAGCAGGGCCAGATGAAAGAAATCGGAGATATTTAAGCATAGTCGTAGAGAATAATTGGTTAAATCTACTGAACTGTTCACTAGTGTATAGAGCCAGATATGACCCCCTCTGACTTGACTCAAACACTAATTTTCCCTTATGGTAACCGCAAGGGAACTAACCTCACGAACATAGTGTCTGAGATTCTGGGTTCTATGATTATCAGATGTCGAAGTGGAGCTATAGGATGGCGAACCCGCGAAAACCAGTTAGGCTTCTAACCTGAACGTGGGTGTATCGGTCAGAGTTTTACTCTCCACCAGGTTCTGGAGTACTAGCACACTTACCAACGCTAGACACTAGCTGTATTCCTTGACCTGGAGACGGCGTTTGACAGGTCCTAGGGTAGTCTTTCACTGAAGAGCATGCTCGGGTAAGCAAATCACTCTATTGAGGACTCTGTACTAGAACATCCATTGGTGTGTTAGAATCTACGGTGTCCGTCGAGGATATCCCGTTTTTCCTTACTTATTCAATTTTATTAAAGATGTGCTAATGGAAGTTTCCTCTTGCCGTCTGACTTTACAGGGATTGATCTTATCACAAAGTAATCTTTAGATGGAAATCCTGTTAGGTGAAGACCTTGACAAGATGTAATCTTGTAGATCTCTCGGATGGCAATCTGAAAATGTTTGGGATGCATTCCTTGCCATTGAAATGCAAATTTTTTATCCAGAACTGATTTCCAGTGATGCTATGTCGAACAATAGGGAGTAGAATGGCCCAGTGAATTGACCGCTTCACTAACTAGGGAAGTCATATCAGCCCTGGAGGGTCAGTCACCGACAAAATCTCTGTATAGATACAAAGTTTCATTTAGCTTCTGCAAACTCACGGCATTTGTGGTGCCACTACGAAATCTGGTTGTCTATTGAAGGTTGAGTGTACCGCGCTGCAGTCCTCTTTGTTCTACTACATGGCTTTGAAACATGACCATTAAAGGTACACAACATGAAGCTTCAGGGGTTCAACCACTGTTGCCTTCATAGCATAGGCCCTGTTATGGTTTAAGAAGTCAGTAGTGCAGAAATCAGGTGTAGAGTTTGAGGAAGTAGAGGAAAGTCGATTGATGAGGTTGTGTACCTTCATAGGCTACGCGTGCCTAGTTACCGTTCGCCTTATCGCACCATCTTAGCTAAAGTGGACTTAAGCTGGAGAAAGTCAGGGGTGGCCAGACTGAAAAATGACATGTCTATGGAATCTCTGATAAATGGTTTGAGTCGTGTGGGGAAAACATAGATTTCTCGGTTAGGGTCCGCATGACAACTAAAATTGGCGGTTGGAGACTCTAGATGATATGCTTCAGAACCGTTTTCAGTGGTGCAGATGGACCCATACATTGCCTTCAGCCTAATCATCGTACGGAACTTCATTGTTGCTTCATTCCTGTTTGTTCTCTTTTGATGACTTTGTAACACTGACTACTTCCTTCCTTATTTCTCCATCTCTCATCTTAGTGCATTCTCGCTTCATGTGGTGGCATGTGTGGTAACTTGGGCCGTTATACAGTAATGCCTCGTCTCTTATGGTGATGATGCTGAGTAACAGATAGTGCTGCAAACACCAACCAGCAAGTAGCACTGCATCACAGTGTGCTACGCAAAACAAAATCTGAGGTGAAAGAAAATGGATCTTGCCGAAGACGACATAGTAATCGACAGAACACTATAGACTCAGTAAAAGGAAGTGTAAATAACCTAAACAGAAATGAAACTCCTCTGATATAAAGGTACTGGAAAAATTGGTTTCCGTATCTCTAAACGATTAGTTTTATTTGTGAAACTGCGTTCAGATACACAAGGGATGATAAAATCAAGCAGTATGAGTGTCTAACAGTGGTCTTCGTTTATTGTCTGCATACACGAACAGGAATGTAGGATAGTTCTGCACATATGTTGAAAATAATAACTATTAAAGTCAATTCTGGAGTTTCAACTGAGTTTATCAAGCAAGGAGAGTATCATGTAAGTAATTACATTCTCTCCACAAAATGAATGAAAAGTAGCTCACTTTTTCAAAGCGTTCAGAATTCGGCATACGTTCCAAACAGCGTGAATGCTCTTCTTCCATTGTCATCAGCATGTTACGCTCTTTGAGAAGTATGTACCATAGTTTGTGAAGGTCATCATTGCTCTTTAGTCGAAGTTCTTCCTTACGCCAAGGCCTCCCACTGTGTACGGTTATTTCACCCCAATTGGCCCTATCATCAAAAAATTCACTTAAGCCCGAAAGTTTGGCGGTTGTTGAGAAATTACATAACTTTAAACAATTCACTTTCAAGAACCTAAACACAGAATGAGAATATAAATGCTCACAACCTATTTAGTAGCAGCCTCCCGATCATTCAAAGTTCCTAGCACGGTTTTAGATCTACATAAAATCAAAAATGTATATGGATGTGAATAAAAAAATGAAACTATTCAGGACATTTTTAGATATAAAGATGAATTAAAATTACGACTATAGGAATTTACAACTAGTTTATACTCTGATTTGGAAGTTATGTGGTTTCATACATAATAAGTTCTAAAACGTTTGGTAGTTAAACGCTATCAAACGACAATTCCAGGATACCACTCAAAGTATATTTCTAAAACATAAATGTTAATTAAAATAGGAACAATTACACGAAACTCAACCTTGAGCAGTAAAATGAGACGTCTAAGTATTGGTATATCAGAGCCATGCCAAACTATTCAGATCTAATAAGAGGCTAAGTAATATCATATATATATATCATATATATATCATATATCAATACACTTCTTTTCAGACAGCGAAGTATTTGAACTGAACATGAAGAGATACTACTTGCATGGTTCAGCATAAGAGGTCATCAAGTCAACCTATGAAGGGCATCCATAAATGGTGACATCTGACTACGATACAAGTTTGATGATGACTATTTGATCAATACCTATATCGTTGACATGATATTGGCATTCGAGCCTAACAACAGGTTTTTGATGAGTCTGTACCTTCCAAGAAAATAAGTTTGTCAGAAAACATTTAGCAGAAGACTACCAACATGGCCATAAAAATTTCCCGGCTTAAAAGTACTCTTCATAACTTTTCCGTAGTAACCAAATTAAAATGCAAATCTGAAGCAGCCCAAAACAACCTATGCCATCTTAAACAATGAATCATGGTATACAAATCCAAATTTTATTGGAGAAATTCTTATATAACGTGGTTAATCAGGGTGAACACATTGCTACTAGACAGTTATGGAAGGGGATGATCAATGTAAATACGAACATACTATGCAATCATGTCATTATGAGTATGGATGAAAGCTGTCTCAGTTCACATCAACAAAGCAGGTTTTGGTCTTTCTCCTCAGCACATGACAACAAGTCGAGTTGATGAAGTACGCCAATGATTTAAAACTATACTATAAACTGCAAATAAGAGATTCAATGATCAGACTCTCCATGAGATGCACAAAAAGCTTCACTAAGCAGAACTTCGACAATTCAGACCATAGACGTATGCTGTGCTTTTGAGACACGTATACAAAATCCATATAAGGTTATTCATCTGAAATTACCGGTTGATGTTTTTTACTTCATAAATCTTGGCTGGTTTTCCGGAGGTAGGCATAGCGTCGAGTCTTAAGTAAGAGTCCACTTCTCAAATTTACTCCAAGTGATCGTCACGCATATGCAGTACCAGCTAAGCAGCACAACTTGGCATGACAATAATTATTGGCAAACAGATATTAATGGGCTACGTTGTTGCATTGCATCTTGATTTTCTAATGCAAGGTATAAAAACTTAAGACTTTATGCAGATTTCAGTTTTCACACTGGAGCTAAGTGACTAAAGTGAGATAGAAAGGATGAGACATACAGAGAAGCATCCTAGTCAGCATTACTTTGGAAGTTTAGGAGGGAAAACACAGAGCAACCACTAGGGTGCACCTAGAGATGTCCAATGTCTTCCCAGGAAACCCAAGGTTTCCTTTCAATATTGTCAAAAGTGTCTAATTGCTAAGAAGTCCCCTCAATGAGCTTTTAGTCTATGAGGAACTACTTTGCCCAAATTACCGAAGCTATATTTTAGAATATTCCTTGATGTAGCATTCTCTTGAATATATGAAAACCCTTACAGCGCATTTTAACTGAAAATGACGGAAAAAACTTGAGAAATCCCCACAAGTACGTAAATGCCCCTGAATTATACCAAGGATAATCTCCATATGGGCAAATATATAGTTGCCAAAGTGCATCGAAACTTATTATTGGCTGTTTAAGCGTTGTAGAATTAGTGAACGATGGTGCCTTGGGTTCTACGTCTATCATTGGAGTACGTTCTAGGTTTGGAATGGTCATGATTATCTTCCTGGTTCCGAAGAACCTGAAAGAATAGAGATAATCGATTATTAATTAATCTAGTCTGAAGGTAGTATAACTGGACTTGACCTGCAGATGACCAAGCTTCTGGAGTACAGCCCATCGGTACTGCAACACTCAAGATGTGTCTAACCTCCCTTTGAAAGTAACAGGAGATGGGGCTGTAACAACTGCTGAAGAGAGTTCCACAGTTTACAAAATCTAACTGCAAACGAGTTAACACGGAACTTTGTACGTGCTCTCTCGGGCTCTGTTCTTAACGGGTGACCCCTCAGGTGGAGTTTCCGATTAAAGCTTAGAAGGGATCTGTTAGAATGAAGGGGATTATGGGCGATGTGGTACATCATGATCATATCCCCCTTGATCCTCCGGTATTGTACTGGACACAGCTTAAGAGCAACTAAGTGGTCTAGGTAAGGTTTGTACTGCAACCTAACCACCTTTTTCGTAGCTCTTTTCTACACCCGTTGTAGGATGGCCATGTCCTTTTTCAAGTATGGGGACATCACGAGTGAATTATTTTCTAGATGAATGTACAGAGCACACACCGTGCTGAATAGAGGAGCTAGACTGCCTGAAGTTCGCGAAAGAAACCCCAAGACTCCATTGTCCTTTTTGGCTGCAAGGCGACACTGGACTGAAGCTCCTAGTGTGTCGCTTAATGTAATTCCCAGATGTTGTTCCATGTTAAAGTGACAGATATTTATTTCACCCAGAGAGTAAGAACTAGGACTGCTTTTATATTTGTTAACGATCATTATCCTACACTTCTTAGAGTTGAGAGGAAGCGGATTTTCTGTAGTTCAATTAAGGGTTTTCGGAAGGTCCTTCTGGAAGACCGAAATATCCGTTGGCCCTCCGAATCTTCAGATCATCGGCATATAAAAGTGAATGAGAACTGAGGGCTCCTGGTAGGTCATTGATAAAAGCAAGAAACAGCAGTGGGCCCAGAATAGAACCTTGAGGCACACCACTCAGCATCGGGAACCAACTCTTAGGGAATGGAAGTTGTGCCTGACATCTAACCTGCTAGGGTAACCTGCCTTCCAGAAACAAGCATCTGAAGAGGTTTGTTACTGGGGCACTCAGAACTTCAGCAAACTTTCAGTACCCTTGGGTGAATCTCATCAATTCCTGGAGACTTATTCGGGTTCAAATTCTTCAATATTTCCATAATTATAGAAGATCCATACTCTATATGGTTTAGCCCCTCCGTAATACGGGTCTCCGACAAATGCGTGGTTGTCCCTCCCAACTGATAGAAGTTATTTTGGAATTTATGAGCTAGCAAGTTTTCTACCTGTGGAGAATCTGCAAACTACTGGGGTCCTGTATACTAAGAGAAATGGTTACTTCTCTGTTTCATCAGCAAGTATAGTATCCCGTGATTCTCCTCCAGTGTTTCACACAGTTTTGTGATAGTCTGTCATTTCTGATTCTTATCGCACATCCGTTACGGATGTTTTTGTAAATTAGCCGGTCAATAGAGCTATTTGTGACCCTGCGTTGATTTCAAGATGACCGTTTACGCGTGCTTGATTTAAGCCAGGAGTAAAACTTGTTGGTTCTTCTTGGAATCAGAGAAGTGTTATTACTTATCGTCTAAATGGTTCTGCCCTTCAACAGATTCCATCTGGAATCCAGATCTAGTGGGTCATCGCAATTTAGGCAAGAGGAACATTCTAGATCTTGATGGACCTTTTCAAAATCAGTTTCCTTATAATTCCAGGCTAATGGCTGATCAAGAGCAGGTGGCTTAGACATAGAAATATTGAAGTAAACAACTACATGGTCACCCGATTCAAGAGGGCTATAAACATTTAAGTTACCCCAAAGAACTGATTTATGGAAATATAATCTACTCGAGATGCCTTACCGTCAAACCCCCCAACAAGTACACTCATAGACATGTCCAGTCAGGGATTTTTCCTGTAACGATTCCCGAAAATCTTTTAAAGCAGCAGATGCAACTGGACTTTCAATGGTAAAGAGTTGAGGAAAGTTAAAATCTCGAGGACCTGTGGAAAGCTAAGTTCCAGAGCGCCTCTAGTGAATTGTTTTAACATTTTATTTAACTTGGTAGCGGCACCAGGAGGGTAACATAAGACTCCAACAAAACACGGAACTGCACAGCGCTTGACGCTGCACTAGAAACATCTTCAGTGCCAATTCTATGAGTAGACAGTGGTGATAATCTGTGCTTAAACAACCACCTTTTCTAGCAACGAAAGTATACACAGGTTTGACTTCTGAAGGTGATATGAAATCCGGAAGCCCCTTACCCCAGGTACTGCTTTTAGGACAAGGCCGGAAGTCTAATGACGCGCCCCAAAATGAAGGGTTTCTTTGCACCCACTTCCAGGTCTTACGGAACAGTTCCAGGTCTTTATTAGATTGCGATGCAGCTGATCCATCCATTCGCCTCCTGCAGCTCTGGTTAGCTCGGTGGGAGTTGAATAGATTTGTAGGGACTGTATAGCTTTTGCAAGGGTTTCAAACTAGTGACAACCATTTTGAACCACTGTAAATTATTATTAGGACTTGAGGACATCGGCAGTTTTCGAGTTCTTCCATCTAGTCTTTGAGGCATGGTTCTTGTTTTACTTCTCTGCAACAGAGGGCAGGGAAGGTTTTTTCGTTCTGCCACGTCACGGAACTTGAAGCGTCGCTGACGGAAAAGGATTTAGGCCTTTTGTTCCCTCAGGACTTAAAATCCTATCCCAACTGGGACAGAAAAGCATTTCGCGGAGACTTCGCATTAATAACTCTTGAATGAAATTTCGGACAATTCGGTCGTAGATGTTTTCACCAAGTATTCAACTGCTTCATACCACCTCACCTGGAGTTCGGGACCATCGTCTTTCCGCTTTCTCAGTAGGGGGAAATTAAGCATACAGCGCATCCAGAAGCACTTGTCCAAATCTGTTCAAGGATTTAGGTATAAAAAATATCAAGAACAACTGGTTATGCTGGATCTACATCCCCTTGAGTGCAAAAGGCTAAGAGGAGATTTGATAGCGACTCACAACATCCTGAGTAGTCCTGGGCATCCACTACGTCACTTGTCGAATCTTAGCTGTAGCACTAATCTTGGAGTACAGATGCGGCAACCAAGCGTAGAACGTAGCAGGTTAGATGTCGGGCACAACATCTATTCTATAGGGGCTGTTAAACCCTGGAATGCTCTCTCTGCAGACGTGATCCAGGCTACTTTGTCTGGATACTTCAAACGCCGGCCGGATATTTATTTGACGTGTGGGTGGGATCTGTCC